GAAATAAAAATTGAATAAAAAGTTATTTTTACTAAGTAATTTTTTACTAATCCAAGTGCAACTTCTTTTCAATGTAACAGATATCAAAAAAAAGTTATTTTTTAATGAGATGTAACTTTTTATGTTTACAGAAATTAATCTGAGTTAACTTCTTTTTAACAAAATAAACACATAAAAAATTATTTTCATCGTAAATAAAAAGATTAAGTATTTTTATATATTCTTGCAACACCACGAATGTGACGTATTCGTGTAGCACGTTGATAATATCCATTAGATGCCCTAGATATATATATTATTGCAGAAGGTGAAAGTGACATTATTATTACTCTAATTATTTTATGACTTGTTAATAACGTCTACAAAACACAATTAAAAATTTGAAATTCATGATTTTTTATTCTTAAAAGTTTATTAGATAGAAATAAAAATCAAAAGAATGTGTGTGGTTGTACATTTGTCACCCCATGCCGCCTATTTAATCTTAATCGTTTGTAACAATTTTTTTAAATTGAAGTCGTTTTCAATTTAATAGTTATTAAATATGTATTATAATATACATACTACTCCATATAGTAAGTTAAAAAGAGTGGTAACTAACTACACTTTATGTACATCACTTTTTTATTTCTTCTAGAAGGAAAAGGACTGGAAACAAACCACGAGATATCCCATCACATAATGTTTTATATTGGGCCTAAATCGAAATAGTAGATTTTAATAATAAATCTTCAACATAAATAAAAGCCAACCAAACCGTTGAGAAAGGGAATACGACTTATTTTAGGTGTTTTTAAGTTAAATAGTTCTTAAGAAAATTTAAAGTGTTTGAACAAAGTTAAAAATAATTATAAACACTTATTTAAAGTTGAAATAATAAAAATAAGCCAAAAGTCATTCTAAATAGACCCTAAGTCTATTGAAATAATATACTACAAATATAATATATTACAGTTGAAAATAAAATAAAATAAATAAATAAGCAAATTTTAGTGTTGAGGAGCGGATTTCTCTTTCTCATTTGAAAGATTCAAACACATTGCGGCATAATTTACACTGATTCAATAGTATCACTCTTGACTTGTCACTTCCAGGATACAACAATCCAACAACGTTACAAACTCAAAAAAAAAAACTCTTAAATTAATTGAAGAATTCAAAGCTCTACAAAATGAACAGTTTCCTTTAACATATAATTACTTTTTTATATATATATATATAATAAATATAGTTAAAGACTTAAAATATCTCTTAATGCCTCAATTCTTTCTTTCACAATACTAATCTGAATATAAATTCAATTAAGAAAAAATTGCATTGTGGTATGAAGATTTAACTTTTGAGTGAAATATCAAAAAAGTCACTCAAGTCAACAGGGGTGGAGCTATTAAAAGACAAATGCTTATTCAAATATATATATATATATATATATATATATATATATATATATATATATATAAAATCAAAAGTATTTTAATTTTGATTAAAATTGTTGTTATTATACTAAAATATAGAGGATTTTTTTTACCTCTTATACTATTTAATATTATATTTTAACGATATGCATGTTTTCACGTGGACACATTAGTATTAATAATAATATAATATTTATGATGTCTACGTGGACATATATATACCTTTAAAATAGACTAATAAATAGTATCGGGAGATAAAAGATTATTTCTAAAGTTCGATATTTTGATTGAAGTTCGATCATATTTCAAGTATTTTTTCCTACATAACATATGCTAAACACACACACCCGCTTCAGCTTCTTTATGTGTTTACTTCTTTATATATTTACTTTTTCATGTTAAAAAAAATTATAACTCTATCACGATAAATAAACTACGAAAATGATAACATTCATTTTACACGCCAATCGAATGTCAAAAAATAGTAAATGATCATGTTATATAGTGTGTAAGTCACTAAATTTGATGGTAACAGATAGTGCACTCAAGTAATTCCTCTTATTTTTTCAAAAAAAAGAATGTGCTTTCTATTTTTCTTATTGTATAGTAGTAGCAAAGACAAATAGTGCACTCAATTAATTACTCTTATTTAAAAATGTGCTTTTTTTGTCATATTTACTGTGCCGTGCTTGTATACAAACCTCAAATTATTTGACTTCACGTCCCATAAGTTAATTTAAAATAAAAGTATTTTTTATTAAAATATTTTCTATACTGAATATTTAAACGCAAAATTTGTATTAAAATTAAAGAAATTTTATTGAAGATGATTAAAAGTTCGAAACAAAGAAGAAAAGACAGAAACACACATGAAGGATATGGGCAACTTACTGGAATATGGCATTTTGACATTATTTGGATAATAATTTTTAAAAAATCATCGTGACGTAAAAGATTTGTAGAAATACTTCATCTACAGCAATTCGTTAAATGTGGGGACAAAAGCTTATTCTTTATTTGTATTTCGAACTTGACTCAATCCAAAAAGTTAGCTTATCAAGAGAAGATTATTTAAAATCAAAATCAATAATTTTTAATTTCGTCAGTATGAATATTTTTAATATAAAAAGTTCAACATCAAAAAGATAAATTAGAATGAGCCTAAAATTGATTTTCAAAGTAAATATTATTTTATAGTTGATACACTTTTGAATAAAAAAATTTAATTTAGATAAAAATATTAAAATTTAAGCTAGTATATAATCTGAATAGTTTATATTTAAATAAACTATCAATTTATCATGGGCAAAGTACATAAATCACATACTTTTAAGGTAAAATTACCATTTATCCCTTATAAGTTTATAATTCCCAAAATCCTTCAAATGATACAATAATAGCAGCGGTGATACATTAATTTGATGCGCGAGATTCATTAATTGTTAAGTAAGATATATTACATTTTACTTATAATATACTAATCTAATGTATATTTTATACATGATACATTAATTTGATGCGTGAGATATATTAATTTGATGCGCTGATACATTTATCTAATGTGTGAAAATAAGAAATTTTAAAAATTTGTAAAACTAATAGGAATAATGATAATTCTAGATCGATCACTGCCTACTCGAACACAAAATATTAGAAAAAAACATGAGCTAATAATTTGAGATAATTAATCTACTCGCCGACGTACATTAACTAATGTTTGTATTTCATACAAAATTGACAAATTATAGACGGAAACAAGGACCGATGTTTATTGAATAGAAATTAAAAAATATTAATATATTGTTTCTTCATTTTTATTTTTATTTTTATTTTTTTTGGCTTATTACAATTTTTAAGTATATATATTATTAATATCGGTTGTTTACAATTAGGCAAATGAAAATGACTATATAGGGACTCATCATCGATATATACAAGGGGTAAATTAAACATGGTTTTAGCTTCTAGAAGGCAAAAAAGTTAACTATGATTGTAGTGTTATAAATTCATTGAATGAGTGGATAGTCATAAGGTTGGTACATGAACAACCATTCATATTCACTAGGTTACATGAACCTTTTTGGATAAGAATGTATCTATTTATTATGATACTTAATATGGTGACCTTTGGAGTGATTTCTCACTCTATAAATAGGGTTGTTCATTCACTATTGTAATATAGATACATATGAGATTTGCATATACTTGAATAAGAAGAAAGTCTTATCTTCCATCTTACTCCTCTTGCCTTCATCTCTTTATATTTATATTGCCATGAGCTTGATTTTATAACATGTAGGTATTTTTTATTTAATACTCATTGATTTGATTAATTTAAATTTATTTATTATGTTAAAGTTATTTAAAAAATCACATATCATAAATATCCCCACTGTCATAAATAAATTAAAAAACTTTTAGTTGGAAGATTGATAAATTCAACAACATTTATTACATACTTAATATAGATAGACAAATTATACAAAAACGTGAAATAAGCAAATAAACGTCTAAAAGTATGAGATTTATTTGTTTTTAATATTTAAAATCTTAGTTTTGTCAATGTTTTAACTCCTGCATTAAATAGATAGTTGTGCATATGTATATTGTGTAATTGGAACCCCCCTCAAGAGTGTGTATATTTATATAAAGTCAACTCTCTACACGTAATTATATATTTATATATATTACTTTTAGAATAATTGAACTAAAAAGAGTTGAATATTTTTATTTACTTGAAGCAGTGGCATCATGGATTCTCTTTTTCTATCTATCTATATAAAAAAACATTTTCATTTTCAAGTTTAGTACTAATAAAATTCCATCATTTCATTGTACAATAATATGGTAATAAGATATTAATTAAAGACAGTATGAAATCAGCATTTAATTAATTAATAATTAATAGAAAGCAGACAAGTCTTTTTAGATAATAAATTATGTTGTAATCACTGATTAAATAAATACAAGTAATTTATAAGTCATGAGGTTGACAATGACCACAAATATTGTCAATCAAATGACAATATGTAGGCCCAAGGGTTACAAACACTTGTTCAAATTACATTTTAAGAAAATATCATCTTATTTATAATTAGAAATAACTTAAATTTTAAAATTCAAAATCAAACAAAAAAAAGACAATAATCTTTTGACACTACTATCTAACTTATTTTACATGAAACTAATAACCAATATTGACAAACATTATACACTTCATCTGCTAGCTTTGGGTCTTGCTTCCAAATAGTATTTTTGTAACAAACTTAATATCCAAATATGTTTTACTTTAATGTCAATATGAAATTAATTTCAGAAGTGGCTAAATTTAAAAAACGCAACAATATATGCCTTAAATAGTCAAGGAAAACGTAACTTGATGCCGAAAATCCAAAAATAAACAACAAACTCTGGGCAGCTGACATACGCAATGTAACAGAAAATATAACTAGTAGATAAAAGAAGAATCAACTGTACACAATTACCACTCTTTTTTTGTTTTTCCTTATGATATTTGAAATTCACATTCGACTAATTCAAATTTAAACCATCGAAGAAAAAAAAAAACAAGTTCATACTAGATATTTATATATCTAAATAACAAAGTGATTGAACATGTCCACGGTATTCATTTGGAGTATTCAATTTTCTCCATGTCTTCTCTTTACTCTCACTGTTCACATCAACAAGTTCATAAATATTCTGAATTTCACCTAAAATTGAATTTCCCATGGCTAACAACTTCCCCTGCCACGCAGTAACATACGCCCCGTTGGATACTCCACGTGGAAGCCTCGCAACGTGCTTCCACGTGGCGTCAAGCTTTACGACCACGTCACCGTCTCGGCACATGTAGAGTCTCCCGTCGCCGCCTTCCACGCAGGTCTGGGGACACGTGGCGGCACCGAGGAAGTCCTCCTCCAGGCGCCACTCCCTTGACGTGGCGGAGTTGAACACCTCAGCGCTGCGCTGGAATTGACCTTGTGCAGGCGTAGGATAGCCTCCGATGACGTGGAATTCACCGCGGTAAAATGCGCACTTGCACTCGTCACGCTCCATGGCCATTTCCGGCAGAGTAACCCACTCGTCTTCCGCCACGTCATACAACAGAGCCGATCTCAGCGCATTCTTCTCGTCGTTATGTCCGCCGGCGACAACCACAAATCTCTCCGAATCCGACGCACATCCAAAAAACAGCCTCTGTCCTCCCGGCATATCCGCCCCACGACGCCACGAACCGGATACGAAATTGTAGATGAAAACAGAGTCCATAACCCTCCAATTAACCGGGTCACACCCGCCTATCACCATTACATCCGACCCGACTCCTACAACCCGGCAAAACATGGGCAATCCATCAATCAACTCCGGTATCGGCGGCAAATCGTACCAAAATCCCCTTTCCGGATCGTAAAGGGTGAGTCTATAGTACTGAGTAGATGAAAGGCTGGTAATGCCATAAGGGTCTCGAATAGTAGTAACCATGGCTTGGGATAATACGATAACGGGTCGGGTAAGACCCGATTCTTTCCGTCGTTGTCGAAAGAGGGGATGCTTGATTTCTTTTTTCCAGTTTTTGCATACAGAAGCAGCTTTAGAGAATTGATGGAGAGGAAGACGAATGAGACATTCAAGAGCAATATCATTAGGAAGACCCGGAAGAAGATCCATGAAGAAAAAGATGGAAGAAATTAACAAATTGGGCTACTGTGTGTGTACATATATATGTAGAGAGAGATTGGAGAAGACAAATATTCTGATCTCATGCATAAATAAATATTCATTGACGATTCAGAATCGTGACAAACTATAGGTTTTCGGTGCTCTTGTGGGTCCACCAATAAGCTCGATTTATTTCGTGGAGATAAAAGAGGTTTTTGCTCAAATACATCAAATCAAATTAAGTACAAAAAAGAAGGAAATACTGAAAAAAAAATACAAGTAACGGTCTATTTGTATTTGTCATGTTAATTTGCCTAATTTTCAATGTTCAATTAGATTACATTAATTCAATTTTTTGAACAAAAGATTAAATAATCAAAAACGAAAAGTTTTATACATATCAATATGATGAAAAAATATATTGTAAAATTTTAACCATAATTTTTTTTATAATTTAACTTTAAAAATGAAAAATATGATAATTAATAGTAGACCGAGAGAGTATATTTTTGGACCAAAATTTTTTCATTATAATTGATTCAAAATTTGAAGAAATTAAATTCTCTCCACCCTAATTTTCCTATATAGTTTGTGTAAAATATATATTTTTTATATAAATTCTTAAAGCAAACATGAAAATATAACAAAATATTTCAATTTTAAAAATTGATCTAAATATTCTTATTGAATCTGATGTTATTTATAATAAAATTAGACGAAAAAATTCTAATCTTAATATAATTACAGATATAACTGCCTGACATGAATTTTAGTTTTACTTCAACAAAGAAAAATATGACTAACACAAAATTTTATAGAGTAATGCAATAATAAAAATAATTAACTAATATCTATTTCTAAGACTAATTAACTATTAAGAGTAAAAATATTATACTTCATATATTAATTTTATAAATAACAAATATAAATAAACTAATTATTTATAATAAAAAACGACAATAATAATAAATAAAGAATGGGACCATAAATAAAAATTTAAAGTGGGATTTTGGAGTTGGGGGATGGGAGGATTGTTGGTCCAGTAGGCACGCCAAAAAAACAGGAAACAATGTCGTCGCAATATCCAAGATAAAGATATTAACGAGGTTAAAATTTATTTTTATTGGACTTCAAATGAAATTATAGAAAAAATTAATATAATTGTATAGATATATAATAAGTAAAATTTACAATATTGTGTTTCAATATAAAATGTGACCTATTAGTGATGTATTAATTTGTTCCCTTCTTCAAATTAATATTGCTTGCAAAAATTTTAGCATATCGCACTAAATATATTAGATGTAGGGCAACATGTTAAGTAAAGTAAATAATTTGTGATTTTAAAATCGAAGAATATGATAGTAACGTCTTTAAAATCAAGTTTATCTAAAGTTCATACAGCTAATTTATAATATATATGCAGTGATGGCTCTATTTTGTTGATACGAACTTAAATAATTGCAGAGCATATAAAGAAACAAATGACAAGGAAATAATTAAATTCACAAAATGTCTATTTCATATCCTGTGTGGGGTGTGGACACGTAAAATATAAAAAAAATGATCATTTTTTAAAAAAAACAGAAACACAAAAATAGGTATGTGCGTCATGTATAGTGAACATAGGTCATAACTAAGGGGTAGTTTGGTACAAAAGATATATAACACGGGAATTAGTAATATAGAGTTTAGTAATATAGAAATTAATTTTTATCAAGTATTTTGTTTATTGTTTCTTACCTAGTCTTATGTTTGGTTTAAAATTCTAGAAAAAAATTATTTCCTATTATACCCTTGAGTTATTGTGAGATTTTTGTATTTCATTTAACTAGCCAAGTTAAATACTAAAAAATATATGTAAAAATAGTATTAATTTTGAGGTGTGATATGTCATACGGTATATTTCTAATTTTTTATTGGTCAAATATACCTTGAACTTAAACATGGATTTAAGGCTACTTAAATTGTTCAAATACACGAAGCTTATTTAAAAAATAAAATAAAAAATTCAAGTGGTCAATCGACGAACTACATTTATAAAAAAAATAAAAAATCAAAAAAGTCAACCCAATATAACAACTAAAACATGGAGAAAAAAATATTAGTTTGTGAAATCATCAAATTACATGGAATGGAGAATTTAAATGTATATTTATAAATATTCTCATATAAATCAAAAAGAACATTAATTACCAAAAAAAAATAGAAAAAAAGATTCGGAAATAATTTAATTATTTAGGGATTTTATCCAATGATTGCTAAACCTTGGATTAGCTATCCCTCCCTTTCGTAGAGATAAATAAGACCTTGTATGAAGTATAACTATCCATCGATTAGGTTAAATAAAGTAACCAAACAATATTTTTATTAGTCTAAATTTTAATCCATGGATTATTTGAATTAATACCTCCTACCAAACGAATCCATAATATTTTATATTATCCATTAAATAATCAAATTGTTTTTTTGTTTTTCTATTTAATGTTTTCATTGGTGCTAATTAAAGCGTGTTTCATAAAAGAAAAGTACAAATATTGTACAAAAATTCTACTTGCAATTTTAATAAGTTCAAATATATTTCTGATTAATCGATCCTGCTATTAAATTATTTAGTACATCGTTTGGTTTTAATAATTATTAGGAGATTTCTTCTTAAACAAAAATTGCACGCTCAAGTATAAATCATTACATTGAATTGATCTTTATATATATATATATATATATATAGTCTTCCTCCAGATTAAGAAGCAATGAAGAAAAGACAGCAACTTTTCTCACGAAATATGTAAAGAGACGTCCTAAATTCTTTAAAAGATTTTCATTAATTATGGAATTTATTTATTTTTCATAAAAAACATTCCTTTTGATGAAAACCAAAGGTTTACCTGAATATAAATGGTGATGTTCGTTTATAAAACTAGAACCCAACTCCCAGCAATAAGATAGGAATTCAAATAGTCAACCAGTTAAGCTACTAATATTTCCCAAAGCAATGGTTCATATTCAAATTCAAAGAAAAAAATGAGGATTAATTAGTATTTAGTTCTATTTTTAATAATATAATACTCCATCTTAAGTAGACTAAACTAATTTTCATGCAATTTTCTATGGTTTTTTGAAAGGATTTTAGCTCTAATGCTTACCCTTGGTGATAGCAACTCCTCGATTATTTTTAAAAATCATTGTGCTGACAAATCTAGATGAGATTATATTTGTTTTTTAAAAAATAAAGAGCAAGCCTTCTTTAGACTACACATAACATTATATAGCATTTCTTAAATTTATTAACAATCTTGAATTTGGAGATTTTTAGCACAGCCCAAAATGGACAAGGGACGATAAAGACATCAACGCATTTCTCTTATATTTTATACTTCAGTGGCCAAAAACAAGGAACAAAAGACATACGTATACTTTTTTAACTAATAAGTTTACAGTGGAAATATATTCTAAAATTTGTCATGACGAAACTCAGTTGACATACTAGATAAACTTAGTAAAAACTTTTATAATTTGTTGCCGACGGCACTATTCTGGCCATTGGAGTCTGGAGCCAAAAGGACCACTTTTCCATATCAAAAATGCACAAACATGAACAACTAACAAATATGATACAGTAAGTCAGTAACACAGAAACAAAACAGAGCCCTTCGCTGTTACAGGTTGGCCTTGTAGTTTCCTCAATTAACAGGTCAACAAAAGTGTCTGAAGCACTGTGAAGTCATTTGCTCTTGGGATAATCAATATATGGACCAACAGCGCTCAACAAATTAAAGATAATAATTCAAGGCTCACAATGTTATAAACCTACCTCGGGTACATTACGCTACATTTGTTTATAAAACTGAAGCATGGGACAAGATCCAGAAAGCTAACCCATCCATCGATGCTGTTAGAAAATCAATAGCGAGCTGCCAAATCAACTAGGTCTTTGTAGTCATCAGGAATGTAAGACTTCACCTTAAATGATCCCTTTCCCGGAGAGATGTATTTCAAGCCAACAAGCTTCAAACCTGCAACAGAAACACACGGATATACTAAATCTGTTGTTTTCTCCACAGGTTAAACATAGAAACAACCAGTCGAAAAGATAAGTTCATTGTGTTTAGCATATGCTTTAATGTATTGAATTGCTAGTTACGATAGAAGTAATATCCAAAAGCTGCTACTCAATGTTGGCTGCAATTTGCTTCTACACTGAAACAATCACTTTCGAATTACTTTAATTTTTGTTGACCATTTATGGAATTCAGCAAGTTGGATGATATATGAACTACGTCTGATCTATTATCTCAATGATAAATTTTCAAGCAAGAAAATATGATGGGTTAAACTACCTAAGTTCCTATGGCTCAAGTTTCTACTTTCTATAAGAGAGTGCTCAACTAGAATAAACTTGCCAAAGTAACTAAAGGCATCCCTTAAGTGAAATATCCAAAATTGAAATGATTAGTTTTCAAAAATTACTTCAATTTTGTGCTTGACAATTTATGGAATTCAGCATGTTGGCTGATTTAGGAAATAAGTCTACTACATTATCTCGGTGATGATTTTCAAGCACAAAAATATTGAGGATCAAATTACCTAATTTCCTGTAATTCAAGTTCCAATGAGTATTCTGAGCTAGTAAGTCACCAACTAGGAGAGCCTTAACTAAGTTAATCTCCTGCTGGAAGAGACTTGACCAAGTACGAAACTAATCCCTGAAAACTAGATTCTGATACCCTAACTTGCACTCTCTTAGCAGACATGCAAGTAACCTAGTTACCATGCTTCTCTAATAGCTAAGCCGTCCCTAATATTTTCTTTCGCTGTCTTGTAGAGTTCTATGCAAAATGTGCATATGTTACCACCAACCTCTCCAATATTAGGTCGTTTAGTGTGATAAACATCCTATCTAAAGGACAAGAAAATATCCTTGAGTAGTTACCTTCCCAAGACTATAAGTATAAAGTCTAGCATGTTGTGGCCTAGTTTCACACATCTCTCTCTCACACGCACGCGCC